CAGAATTTAAAGAAAATTTGAATCTAAAGGTTTTGCAGCTACAAAAACCGTCCTTTTTGACACAATTCGGCAGCATAATAATAACTATTAAATTTATTCCTAATTTGTTCGGAGGAGGCGTTATTCCGGGCAGACAGAACACTGCAAACTGATTGAAGATGGAGAGAGAGAGACGAGCAAAGAGCAAGTTTCCGATCGAAGAATAAGCTATTCCTTTCGGACGTTTTTCTTCCTCTTCTCCGTGAGAATGATTTGCAATGTAACGGAAAGGAAAGAAAACACGCAATTAATTCTGGTTCAAATTTAAGATAAATAAGTTAATTTGCAAATGTACAAATGCATATGTACATACTTTCCAATAAGTCTTGTACACATTCACATGCACAAATACATTTGCGCTTATCCCGGGAAGCACTTCTTGCATTAAATGACCGAAATTACCGATTTAAACGCGAGAGAGAGGTAGAGAGAGACGAGCAAAGAGCAAGTTTCCGATCAAAGAATACGCTATTCCTTTCGGAAGTTTTTCTTTCTCTTCTTCGTGAGAATGATTGGAGATGTAAAACGGAAAGGAAAGAAACCCCGTAAATAATTCAGGTTCAAATTTAAGATAAATAATATAATTATTTATTTTACTTGCAAAAATTGAATCTTTTAACGATACGTAGAAAGTTTAAGTCGTTTAGCAAGTTTTTTTCCTGTTTTAGTACAGTAAAATTGGTTTCAGAACCCTAAAACATCAATATGATTTAAACAAACAAACAGGACGACAAAAGTTTTAGTATTAACGAGAAAGGAAGCAAGCTTCGGCAAGCCGAAGTTTATATACCCTAGCAGCTATATTCAAAATAAATCACCTATTAAACATTTAAAAATTAATTCATGGGCACTAACCTTCGTTTTCTATTTTACTTTGATGCATTTGCGAATGTACACATACATACATATGTACATACTTTCCAATAAGTCTTGTACACATTCACATGCACAAATACATTTGCGCTTGTCCCGGGGAGCACCTCTTGCATTAAATGACCGAAATTACCGATTTAAACGCGAAAACGCGAACGAAATAATCAGAATTTAAAGAAAATTTGAATCTAAAGGTTTTGCAGCTACAAAAACCGGCCTTTTTGACACAATTCGGCAGCATAATAATAACTATTAAATTTATTCCTAATTTGCGCGGAGGAGGCGTTATTCCGGGCAGACAGAACACTGCAAACTGATTGAAGATGGAGAGAGAGAGAGACTTGCAAAGAGCAAGTTTCCGAACGAAGAATAAGCTATTCCTTTCGGACGTTTTTCTTCCTTTTCTCCGTGAGAATGATTTGCAATGTAACGGAAAGGAAAGAAAACTCGCAATTAATTCTGGTTCAAATTTAAGATAAATAAGTTAATTTGCAAATGTACAAATGCATATGTACATACTTTCCAATAAGTCTTGTACACATTCACATGCACAAATACATTTGCGCTTGTCCCGGGAGCACCTCTTGCATTAAATGACCGAAATTACCGATTTAAACGCGAACGAAATAATGTGAACTTAAAGAAAACTGGAAGCTAAAGGCTTTTCAGCTAGAAAAACTGGCCATTTTGAGACAATTCGGCAGCATAATAATAATAATTTAATTTATTCCTAATAGGCGAAAAGTTTGCGTTATTCCGGGCAGAGAGAACACTGAAAAGTGATTGGAGGTGGAGAGAGAGACGAGCAAAGTGCAAGTTTCCGATCAAAGAATAAGCTCTTCCTTTCGGACATTTTCTTCCTCTTTTTCGTGAGAATGATTGGAGATTTAAAACAGAAAGGAAAGAAAATCGGTAAATAGTTCAGATTCAAATTTAAGTTAAATAATTTAATTATTTAAATTGCAAAAATTGAATCTTTTAACGACACGTAGAATGTTTTAGCCGTTTAGCAAGTTGTTTTCCTGTTTTAGTACAGTAAAATTGGTTTTGTTAACCCTAATACATATATATAATTTAAACAGAAAAACAGGACGACAAAAGTTTTACTATTAACAAAAAAGTCGTTTAGCAAGTTGATTTCCTGTTTTAGTGCAGTAAAATTGGTTTCAGAACCCTAAAACACCACGCGGAGTATGCTAAGTAAAAAAACGAGAAATCCGTCCTACAATCAAAATGTACTCGTTCTTGAACATTGCAATAAATTCTTATAATAAAAAACTAAACTTAAATTGAGCACCTTTAAAGGACGGCCCGGTGTGCTAGAGCGTGTTGGTTATTTAAATGCAGTTATTTTTAAATCATTTTTTCGGCTGCACATAAACATTAAACGTTCTTATTCATTGTTAAGTGTATCTAAGTCCTTATCTAGTCTGTATTTGTATTTTACTGAAAAATTAGGATGACATTTTTTTGCGTGGAAGAATGTTTTAAATAACTAACTTATGAAACAACTAAATAAATAAAAATTTAAAAGCGTATATTTAGTCCAAGTTTCTCAACTTTATTGTAACGAAATCAGATTTTAGATGCCGAACGATCTACATCTATCTATATTTATTTTACATGTCCCTGGGTGTACAGAATCCATATCTGTTAAACACAATTATAATACCGACACCACATTCCATCCTACGTGAGCGACTCAGCGCTTGTTAAACTTAGCGCAAATAAGCGGCATTAATATTAAAGCTCTTGTAATCCTTTTGCTGACATAAATCTTAAGACACGAATCTTAAGACTTAACGAGCAACATTCGCCGCAATCGAGCCCAGCTGAAATGGGCTAAGTTTAGCTGGTCTGGGTCCCCTTCGGCCGTGCCCGAGACAATGTCACATAGTCCGAAGGCTTTCAAACCCCGAATCTGAATCAACTGACATCTGACAGGTCGGTTGTCGCAGATCCCCTTACCCCCAACAAAACGAGAGGGCTGTTCATGGATTGTTTTTCAATTGCATGTCGCTTTTCCAGGCATACATGAAGCTGCATTAGATGCACTAATTTCAATCAGGGGGTCAGTGTCAGGATGGTTGATTGATGAGCTGCTGGATTTTACTTTGCCTTCCCATGTATTTCCGAACAAGAAAAAAGGTACGGAGCAGATTGATCTTTGCCAGAACTGGCATATAAGCTGTGCAGCAATTGACCATCAGAGTTGATTCGCTCCAAAAATAAATATCCCAAAAAGTCTGGGGAAAATGACCGCTTGCCTTTTGCACTTTGCCACACAAGAGCCGGGTTCCCGAAACACTACCTGCTGTTCGAAAACACAGCCTAAACGTCGTCAAAAATGATGGAATACCTTGCCCAGATTACAAAACCGCAGTAATTTATCAAAGCGCAGGGCGTCAAACGGTTTTCCACGGCGACCAGTCACCGAAATGAAAGCTCAAAATTCAAAGAGCTCCACAGTAGCCAAGGTGGTGCCCTGTCGGTGTTGGTGCCAAAATAAAAAGGCTTTTGTTTTCAGCGCTGCTGGATTGTTTTCTACCCGGACCGGACCGCCAGTACTACCGGCTCTCTTTCGCTGCCATTGATGGGTCAGTAGCAACAAATTAATAAATGTTTAACATTTAAAAACTAATTGATTTTTCTGCCTTCCACATTTCTTGCCGTCGTTTCTCTCGGCCATTTGCTTTGTCTCTGGCCCTGGCATCCACGTACGGCTTCTGCAGCTCTAGAAATCCCGACCCCTTTTTTCGAATAATTAAGTTTTATTGTTTCGTATGTTGAAAGATTAATAGTCCGACTTCTGTATTTTATTATTAATATTCATTCATTTTCATTTAATACGCATGTGAACTTTTCTATTTATTTATGGGACCACAGGCAGAACTAAACAGTGGGCGTTTCACGCTTCAAAGTTTTTTTTTGAGGTTTTGCCTTAGGGTTTTTTGGGTGTGACCTGTTGGTTGTAGAAGCTCATAAGCGTTTTCGGCAATCCGATTGCGACAATTTTTATATATGCGATTCTGGACCAAATAGGTAGTACCCTAATATACAATGATGATAATTATAGTAATGCCATTGGGAGGTCTAACTCAGCGCATGCATCTTTTATGTTGTAAACAGTGTTAAAATCCCAATTGGTCACATTGGAAAAGAAAACAGGAAGCCACCTAATTCTTAAAGTCAATTAATAATTTAATTTGGCAGACCGGAAAAATAAAACCTCGACACTGACCGCAACAGCCAGATAAGTCAGTTCCTCAGTACCTGGCATTCAGGTCAAAGGGCGATAAATTAAATCGAAACCCAAACTATTTCCGCTTCACCAGCAGACATGCACACAGAAAGGTTACAGCAGGATCAGGACGCAATGGATCCTGATTGCATTATTTTTGTGATCCTTGTTGAATGATTCCCGCAAAATACTGCCGCTTTTCGGCTTTGATCCTAGGCCGGTGGGGCTGAGACTACACCGCGTCTCAAATACCCAGTTTATTGTGTAATGAGCTCTCGAAATAATTTGAATGCTCTGCCACACGCCGCGCTTCAAGCCCGATTGCCAATGACAGCGGCTTTCCCCATTTCCCTTTCGTAAACAGATGCCGAAGTTAATTGGCGCACTCCTCCATGGCCGCTGACAACTTGCCGATCATCTTCTTGTGTAATGTGATATATTGTGTCACTTGTCAATACTGTGACTTTTACGAGCTGCCAGCGGCAACGCCCCGCTGGATCTCAAGAGCCCGTCCGGCCGCATTGTTGCCTTCTATGGGATCGTCGGATCGTCGGTGGCTTTGACAGATTTGTTGCGCTCCCTGACGTCTCAATTAATATGCAATGGCGCGCAGTGAACGTCGACTCCCATTCACATGGAGCTGGGACCCCGAGCCGATCTGGGAGTTACACGATCGCCGGCGATTCACGTCGGTGGGCCTGTTCATTGAATCCGGAGATCAAACCGCAGAATATAATTCAGTTTCGAGGGAACCAAAGGGCGTGGAAAATTGTACGGCTTCTTACGAGGCGTTAATAATTTAAGTTGCCTTTTAATAAAGACCCAAATCTCTTTCCCATCGTTGCAGGCCGTGACTCCGACATAAGTGATACGGAGTCGGAGCCTGGGATTCCGCTGAAACGCAAGCAGCGGCGCTCCCGGACCACCTTTACCGCCGAGCAGCTGGAGGCCCTTGAGCGGGCCTTTGCCCGCACACAGTACCCGGACGTGTACACCCGGGAGGAGCTGGCCCAGACCACTGCCCTGACCGAGGCGCGCATCCAGGTCTGGTTCTCCAATCGTCGCGCCCGTCTACGCAAGAATTCGGGCGGCTCGAGCTCCGGACTTTCGCCCATGAACAGTGGCAGCTCTAGTGTGGGTGTTGGAGTGGGCAGTGGAGCGGCGGCGCCACTGGGCTTTGGGCCTTTGGGCGTGGGTTCCATGGCAGGCTACAGTCCTGCGCCTGGCACCACCGCAAGTGGAGCTGGCATGAACGATGGAGTTCACCACGCCGCCAACGCTCCAAGTACCCACCACAGTGCAGCAGCGGCTGCTGCAGCGGCGCACCATCATACACAGATGGGTGGCTACGATTTGGTACAAAGTGCGGCGCAACACGGATTCCCCGGGAGCTTCGCTCAGCCCGGCCACTTTGGGAGTCAGAACTACTATCATCAAGGTGGGTGAACTTTAAGCAATCAAGCTAATTTTCACTGATATAAAAAAGCTTAGTAAATTCAAGAGTCTTATACTCAATTTGAATTAATTAATTAATATTCATCCAATAATGCTTTTAATTATTTTAAATGTTGAAATATTCCATTGTGTAAAACATTTAATACAATATCTCACTTTGGGATTCAGGACTACATACTTTCACCCAATATTATTTAGTTCTCTGATACAAAATGCTTAGTAAATCCAAGTATATTACACTACGTTTTATATAAGCTTCGCAATGACTTTCATTAAATGCGGCCTTTATTTAGATTATTTAGATATTAGATTATTTAACCAGAAAAAATTTTAATAACTGAAATAATTTTTTTTTAAACTCAAGGCATAATTCTCTTTAGTAGCATATGCATATCATTTTTCCTTTTTAGTATAATCCTGTCAGGATATCAAAGCTCATCAATTTAGTCCTGGTTCAACACCCTTTCTTACTTTCTTTTTTTGCAGACTACTCCAAAATGACCATTGACGACTTCTCCAAGCTAACCGCCGACAGTGTCTCAAAGATCTCGCCCTCACTGCACCTGAGCGACAACTACTCAAAGCTGGAGGCGCCTTCGAACTGGTACCATCTTAACCAGTCGGCGGTGGCCGCAGCCAACTACAATGCCCACGTAGCACAACACCAGCTCAACGACTACGCCGCTGCAGCGGCTCACGGCTCAGCGGCTGCCGCCTACAACCACCACCCCTTACCGGCGCAAGGTCAGGCCAAGTACTGGTCATGAACTTTGGATCCAGAGACATCGCTTCACGAACGAGAGCCAATCCATTTTTGCGTTAGTTTTATGCATTTCAATTATCAGCAGAGGCACATTTAGATGTTAGGCAACTATTTATACAACGCAAATGTGAATATGGAAAATAACGCTTACTGCACGTGCATTACATGGCTTTTATAGGCGCATTAAGGCTGCCAGCGTTTCCATACAAGCATTTCGAAAATAAAGCTACAAATTAATTTATATTTGTAAACCTTAGTAATAAGATATTGTTAGCTTCAGTACATGTCAGTACCGGCGAAAATTCGTTTAATAAAACCAATGATGTGGAAGATATTTTTCAGCGTTTAAATACTAGCAGACGCTTGTAAATGAATGAAATAATAAAACCTAAATAATAATTGGATTGCTAGGACTCCATTTAATGTATTTGATACATTACCAAGACATTGCAATACGTTATTACAAAAGGTTATATTAAAGGTTGAACTCTCAAGTGCCAAGGTGAGTCATTCAATGATGAAATGGTTGATGATCTTTTTTAATTTGACCATCGTTGTGAATCAGTCTCCTGTATCCTTAAATGAGGGAACAAAGCACCCCCTAATTAAACTTTAAATAAAGCAAAGTTTATATTGTATTATAGGAACAAACCATTAATATTTGTATATATTTGCATTAATTTAATATGATGTACATAAGGTGTATACAGATACATAACGTTGATAATAAGTGGATACTTCCGCTGCGAGTTCTTAGCTTTCTGTTCCTGTTTTTGGAGCTTAACCTCATGAATGCGGGCTTAAATAGGTTTCATATATAATCGAAGTAAATTCTTGGTAATAAATTATTATTTTTCTTTCTCATTTGCAATTCTTTGATTTGAAAATTCATAATCGTTTAAGTTAGTTATTGACAACATCAGACTTATTATTACACAGTTATTTATATATCCTTTTTTCCAATAACTTTAAAAATTTTAAAATAATCCAAAGACTTGTAATGAAATACTTAATACCTTTGTATTGTTTTATTGTCAATATTTTATTTATTGTCTGAAATACATATAGGTATAATATATTTATGTGTATATATATCGATATTTTTCTTTATTTCTCACCAAGTTTTATTGTCTTTGACGCAGTTTGTTAATACTCTCATATATCAATGATCGCTGGTGGTAATAAATAGCTTTGGACTAGGGGAAAAATTTATTGTCATATACCCATAAAGGATGTTGGGCAAAAGGGTTTTTAACATGCAAGGTACAACATTGGCACTAATTTAATATTTCCTTCAACTGTTTAAATGATAAAGACGATATGATTTTCTTTGATATTTATCGTTTTTTTTTTTGCTTTGCACTGATATCAGTTACTTCAGATTTGTAAATATAACCTATACATTGAGAGATATAGCAACACAGATCCTACAGATTGGAACACCGTTAACTCTCGAGTGCACTCGCTAGCCTCGGTAGTTGCGAGTGCCGCAGGTGTTGTGTGTGACTTAACCAATAATTTTGGGGAATGGGTATCTACATTTAGTATGTGTACTGCATAGTTTTATCGCAAAATTAGCATAAAGAGTATATTGTCGATATTTAGTATTCGTAGTTGTCCAAGTTGCGTCGAAATTCTCGTCGATGCAGTGCTGTGATACGCGGCGGAGTGCCCCAGGAGTGGAAGGGCGGATAGACTGGAGCCCCAGTGCGCAAGAGCGGACGCGGCGGTCGTCCTGATGGCAGCGAATTACTGGAAACTCTGGGCATGCGCGCTTGAGGGTCCACGGAATCCACGTAGAACTTGGACAGACGACCGCGTATGCCAGCACCGCTCCAATTAATCGTCGGTTGATTGGGTATGAAACACTTCTTACAAACGGCTGCGATGGGTTGACGCAGTCGCTCGTGTTGGGGGAAGTACCCGACCTGTATGGGGGAAAGAAACCGCTTGGATTATTAAATTTCCTCCAGCAGGCTTTCTACAAGAGGTCAACAGGAATACAGAATAGAAAACACTTTCGCAGTCAATGCACTAGGTTCGGGATGCAGTCGATTTGGTAAATACCCGCCGCAGCCAAGCTACAGGACAAATTTTAAGTTAATAATGATAACAGCAAATAAGAGCAGACGAGAAACCCAAGATCATGCCAATGAGCTAAAACATGCCAATGCAAACTAAATAGAGTAACACCACTAAATCAATAAGTGCATCAGAAGAATTTAACAAATTATTATCAATTAATTTATTTACAAATTTCTGGAAGAAGTACTTTAGGGTCCATGACATTAATGTCAATTCCAAAAAAAAATTAAAGACGACCACCACAAGGTAAGAACACTCTCTATTCCGCAGAAATACCAAAAAGCGCCTTTATTTTCCAAATACGATGCACAGGTCTGAAGAAAGTTACTATCGAAATTTTTCGGTTTGGTGAGTTTTCTAACTTCGGTTTTATGAGAAAACTCTTTTCATCCCCAGCATACGGCACGACCCAAGAAAAGAGTCAGATTGTCTAACAGCCCTCACGATAAAAGTCGTTTTACTTATGTATACTACATATTAATGATCATCGTCGAGTGCATGCTGCCTACTTTTAGGCATAAGCATATATTTTAAACAGCGTTAAGAGCAGCATACTTTTTGACTGCAGACGTATATATAGCCTTTGTCGTAAATCTAAAATTTAGATTACATATATAAACGTATTGTTTCGATTTGAAAACTTTTCTTTTTTTTTGCCTTTTTTTTTAATATTATTTTATTTTTGTTAAGGAAGGCAGACAAAGTGCCGGGAATTGGACGTTGTCCCCAACGAAGAAAGCCCTTGTTGAAACGCAAGCGGGAGTTTGGCAAGTACACGGAAATCAAATTTCCGAGAACCATTTAAATGGAAAAAATAACATTGATTATACCGACGGAAATGTCTGAGAAATACAGTTCATTGTTGTTGGGAATGTCTTTCAACGGACAGGATAAATAGGAAGTGCCGCAGCTAAATTTGTGGCTAAATTGGCTGCAAAAATCACAAACAATCGCTACATTGACAGAAAATGTATGTCCAATGAAGGCTAACATGCTACTTCCGAAACGGGATAACCAAACACTTGACACGGCATAGACACAACAAAGAGCAGAGATGAGAGGTCTCTGGAGCCAATTACTAGAACTCAAACTCAAACCAAAAATAATCACAATTTCCACAACAAAGAAGGACACAAGAAAAACGAATAAAATGAAATAAAAGTAAGCAGCACACATCGAACCATCGCCATTTACTCATACAAATTGCCTGGCGTCCCGTCCCGAGCGACTAAAACGCCCACCGGTCCCGCCGTAGCCACCACCCCCTCCGGGGCTACGCAGGTAGCGGTAGCTGGGCAGGAATCCGGACCGGTACACGGCGCCTATGTGGCGCTTCTGGGGCGATGGCAACTGCTCCTCATCCGGCTCCTCATTCGTCTCGTTTGCCTCCGCAGCGGCATCTTTGGCGTCGTTGCCATGCTCGATGCTGAACAATTCGGGATCCTTGGAGGTGTCTTTTGTGGGATAATATATATAAACATATGTACAAAACTGTGCCAGAAGGAAGTGCTCCATGGCAGCTAGCTAGAGTGCAGGGTGCTGATAAATGTTAGGTATGCAGAAGGAATTCGACTAACCGGAAACGGGACTAGCCGGGAGTTGCATCCCCACGAGACGTCAAGCTTTCTCTTAGAAACCGAATCAGGGGGTACTCACCTAGAAAACGCTTTTCTGCCCGACGATAATCATTCCAGTCGAGGTCAGCGTAACCGGCATAGCTGGGATACCACCAGTAGCTCTGCATGGGATCGGCGTAGTCGGGGGCGGCGGCCGGCAGGAGCATCTCTTCGTCCTCGCGCTTCTGCTGAGCTCCGTGCACCGGCGAGGACTTCAGTGCCCCCAGGTTGCGTTTCTCGGCACCGGCTCTCTGCTGCGAGTTGTAGCGGGCGACGGCGGCCACATTTCTTTTTGGCTGCTCCCGGTGGGTGGAGGGAGCACTCTGCAGACGGGCCATGGTGGCTAGGTTTCGTTTTCCGTTGGGGATGGGGAGCTGAAAGTCGCGGGCCAGAGTGCCTACGTTGCGCTTGCCATAGGTCATCAGTCCGCCGGCTCTGGCCAGGGAGCCGATGTATCGCTTCTGCTCACTAGGCTCGGCGGAGTCGGCGTCGGCGTAATCCTCGCCGGGCTCCACCGTGGGCAGCTGTCCGTTCTTGGCCAGGGTGGCCAGGCTTCTCTTCGGGGCGTTCAGGAGGCCCTGCGCAGCCAAAGCAGCCACCGAGCGCTTATCCTCCTCCATATAGTCTGAGTACTCACCCAGAGGTTGCTCCTCGCCCACGGCCAGCTGGCGCTCACGGAGCAAGTTCTTCAGTTGATTGCGCAAGGCGGAGGCCTAGGAATGGCGGGGATTTGCGGGATGGAATGAAATGGAAAGCAATTTTTATTCAAAGCTAGGGCAGATGCTGCTTTCCGCCAATAAATCCTTAAACGTCAAGAATAAATACGAGTTGCAGCAGGTGACTCACGTGAAGCTGATACTCGGGACTGGGGTTCATCAGCTGATTTATAAGGGACTCCATTTCGCAGGGCGACACATTGCCTACATCATCAGAGGCACTCACGATAAGGGAGCGTGGTTGGATGGCCTGAAAGCAGAACAGTGCAAGTGAGAGGGCTGGAACGTCAACATTTTAATCAGCCTTTGGATCGAGAATGTCGAGTTTGCTCCAAAGGCATCACACATTGCCTTGTACTTAATTGCCACAATTAATTTCACTAAATTGACTTTGAAATGTGTTGACATTGGACGCCTTTTCGCCTGTTCAAAGATTTCTGGCTCTGGATCTTACATTTTGGGGCTTTTGAGGTCATATATTTTTAAAAGCTTCTCGTGAACGATGCATGGCGTTTTGGAAGCACCACTTTCGACTTATTTACTTGTTGCCCACTTTGCGGAGTCCATTAAGGCCCTCAAGGCATCGTCATCGTTGACTTTGGCAGGAGTTTCCCTAAATGTCCGACAGAGTTCTTATCGAACAGCTCAAGAGCCCCCTCTTATTGACTCACCTACCTTTTAAGGAAACGTCATAGAAGGGTTGAGGAAGAAAAACAGCAAAACGTGGAGCAGGAATAAGTTAGTGTAGCGAAGCAACAGGAGTGTCTGAACCGAACTCATAATATTTTCCTTTAACGTACAGCAAAACAAGTGTAGAAAGGACGAAGCAGTATGTTTGCCAAATAGTCGCTCAACTGAAAGGAGGATTCCAAGTTCCAGGAGTGGCCTGTTGGCCACCCCGAAAGCTCGATTATGTGAGCTTAATGCCAGCATCGTCGTGTGTCGATGGGTCCAGAAACAGTGCTTCCGGTTTTAATAACTGGCCTGCTGCCAAAATGGGTTGCGGAAGGAAGGGCGCACAGGATGTGTTGCAGGCATGCTGGCTGGCGGCGTCAGTGCTCGTAAATATCATGCAGGAACTGATAACCTCTTGGAAGAACCATGCGTGTGTGCTACAGGCCCAGCTTTTTGTCATATCAGCCCTTAAAATAATAACCTTAAGGTGTTTGTTAAAACCATTGCTGTCTTTTGGATTTTTCTATCTAGTTTACTAGCAAACTGTTTATAAATCGTAGTTCTCAGGTAATAAATTGAAGATGCTGCCTTGTCAGGAAAAATAATTTAAATAATTTATGTTTGGATCATTTATCTTGTATATAGCATCCATTAATAACAAAGCTTGAAATGGTGAAAAATTGTATTTGTTTTCGTGAAACCAAGGCTTTTTATGACTTACTCCCACGCACTTGTGCAAATAAGCAAGTAAACAAAAGCGTATAAAACACAATGCAAGCAAGTTTTCAGATTTTTAAATATATATTACAAAAGTCTTAAATATGAAATAGCGCTTTAGTGGCTTTAAGAATTTTGTGTCCAAGGAATAGCGCTCTTGTCGCCCACATTCCCTAAACAAGCAAAAATGCTTTCTGTGTTGCACAGACGAGAATTTCATTTTTAAGGGCCTTGACTGTTGCGTAACAATTGTGTGGCTGGTTTTCGATTCGCTAATTTTTGCCACTTTCAAAAGGACTGGAAAGCGCGTAAAACATTCGAGGTTTATTTTAATCTCTTTTTATTATTCACCCTTTTAAAGCAGGTGCCCATTCAGCGGATAATTAGAATTCCTTTGCCATTGTTTGCATAATTACATTACCTTTTAGCCAGATCCACTTAGCTCTCAGCAGTTTCGAAGTTTATGTCTGCATCCGACAACAAAACAGTCTTTCAACTGAAATAAAGCCGTAACACGCGGTCAGCAGCAATTAAAAGTAGTTCAATTAAAGTGTACGCTCGTCAAGGCGGTAAAAATCAATAAGCAAATGAAAGGGAATCTAATTAAACTTTCCGTGCATCCACTCAGCTCGACAGCCGCAGGAACAAATCCAATAAGCTAGATTGAAGCCAATCGAACTGGATTCAGATCGCCGTGCCTAATTGGGAGTGGGATTCTGCAATACCCAGGAGCGCAATAAGGACTTCATATCAGCAGTCATAGGAACGTTTGCTGCCCTGCAGGGCACAGATTTCCTTTTTTCCCGGCTTCCCCACCCAACCGCATACACTGATTAACTGTTTTCTGTGATGTCTGTTGAGCTGCTTATGTCGCCTCAGCCCAGCCGCAGGCAAGTTTTATTATCGCAAACGTTTCGTCCTACGTGGCTCGTCCCTGTTTTCCCTTCCCTTTTTGGGCATTTTAATGGTGTACTCAGTTGCTTCCTTTTAAACTAAAACAAATACTGTGCCTAACATTAAAACTTAAGTGCTATGCTGACCTTCCCGAGAATCCCAAATGTGCCGAAGACCCGGACGAAGAGTTTCGAGACCCTCAGCAGCATTGCGCTGAAGGAATTTATGAAGGAAGGTGAGTCGGGAAAAGGTACAGCATTCCAAATGTAATATGCTAAAATAACTTTTAAGGGCTTTGCGTAACAAAAGAGGTTTCTTCTGCCGAATTTTTCTTTCATCGAGAATTTCAAATTAACAAATTTGCAATAATTTGTTAATCGAACTTCTATGTGCTTTCTATGACCACTTGCTACCACTAGGTAATTTTGTGTAAATTTTAGTATCCATTACACTAAAGTTTCATGAGCCACGTTCCCCAACTGGCATTCAGCTTTAAATGTGTCCATTGCGTCGAAATGCCTCTATTAACAGTAATTGTCCTTGCGATAAAACCCACATGTAATTCCCTTTTGTATATATTTTTGCCAGCAAGCGTTAGTGACTTGGAAAGGCTTTAAGAGCACATGGAAATTACTATCACGTGAACAGAAATATACCACCTTATTTTATACGCGGAGATAATACATCCGGAGAACAACAATTTTAACAAAATTTATTTGTAAACTCTAAAAGGAGTTTTATTTTTACAATTTTTTCCTTCAAAATTGTTATTTCAAGTTTGTAGATTTTGCTATGATGTTAACATCTTTCCATAGAGCGTGAAAAGATAATATATGTTGGGCTTTCGATGGTATTCCTAGCTTAGCACATATGTTACACTCAGCTCAACTTTGCATAAATCATTTTATGAATGTATGCTTGCTTGAAAATTAATGAAAAGCAATTTTTTTTTTAATTTTAAAATCAATTCACTTGCTGGCATTTTAATGAAAAAGTCAAATGGCGTATCATATTCTGACATTAATATACAGAAGCTCGTGTTTTCTTGGTTGTTCATGCTTTTCTATTTGCATACATATTTGATCTATGTTTTGTTATTGGCAGCATATTTCGCATAATAAATTGCACAGCTGGAACTGTTTGCAAGTTAAGGGTGTATAGATAAATTAGTTAAAAGATAAATAAGACTACAAAGTTTAAGAAAGTTTACGACCCTACTTACTTAATCAATTAACAAGGACAACTTCGAAAAACTTTACAGACATTTTCAAACAACAATTCTTTTTTCGACTCCATTACAATGTAAGCTAAATATTCCTGAAAAACCTTTTGCAATTCTGCATTCGCAAACAAATCAGAGAGTCCCATAACTTGAAAAAGTGTTTGCACAAGAAAATTAATGTTTGCATATTTTTCCGAATCACACGGTGCGTATACGCGATAAACTCAGTGTCACGGTTGGTAGATATTGATTTTTGTGATTATTAAATAGCCGCCGGAATTGACAATGACGAGCTATATCATAAACCGTTCATATCTAACCTGATGCAAGAAAAACGCAAACTGACGCGTTTCTGTTATTAATATCGGGATTTATTTTAGTTCAGTTGTTTGCACCGTCACGCGTTAAAATGCTGACTCATTGTCTTCAATTCAGCGCTGTATTGCCGTTGGGATATAGGAAACAAAAATAATGTCCAAATCTATATTCAACCATATTGTACAATAGTTCTTATTGACGTTCCAGTTGCCTCTGACGTTGCTGACTTCACTGACGCTGTTGATATATCCTTACACTTTTGCAAATGTCAAAAAGGTACATGTTCAATATTATCTAAAATTAAACAACTTGTGTACTGTCTTCGATAACTTCTCCAAAGACAGACAATGAAAGGAAATTGGATTCTGCTCTTTAGAAATTATAATTAAAATAGGCTTTCAATCGATGTAAGTGTTTTAACGAAGTGTTCATTTATGTTCTTATATCCTTTTGTGATTTTCTACATCCGCCATTGTACTTTCACCACAAATTGTTTAATTTCTTCTTACCCAGTAAGCCTCTTGATTAGAATTCGAAACTTGAGACATTTCTTGCGGCTTAAATCTCTTGCTAACAATGATAAGAAGCGTTTTAACTTTTAATTAATGTTTGGTGGAAGTTGGGAAAAGTTTTGTTGCCCAGCGTGAAAAGACTTTATGTCTTGTGGCATGGAGAACATTTTGACAAATTAGTTTTAGTTCCCTTTCCGGCAGCCAGTTATGATGAACAGCTTTCAGGGGAATACCAAGCTCCGCGAATATGAAAAAAATGTCACCATATGTCAGCGAGGGACAATAGAAATGTCATCCAACTCGGAAAAAAACTGCTTCAATGCACAGAAAAGAGATGTGAAAGCGCCAAATGAAAGGCTGCTCTTTTCACCTAAACGTGACGACCTGTCGCAACCACAGAAGCAACAGTTGCAGCCGTAAAAAAAAGCCGCAAAAGATAAATGCTCCAATTGGCGTGGCTTGGCCCAATATAAATTACAGCCAAGTGAACAGGGGCCTTGAAAAATGAAAAATAATTTAGTCTTCTTGTTGCCACTGGATCTGGGCAACCAGAGACAAACAATTTAACGGAAAGTGGAAACGTCGTTATGTAATGGTGAAAGGAAAGAAGCATTACATTTGTGTTTTAAAAGCAAAAATAAATAAATGACCAACTTAGGTGCCAACTAAATAAACACTTAAAATTAGCTTTTATAAATAGGGAAATCTTTTTAGCTTTTATATCGCATTTTCAATTTCCTTTCGTCCGTAGGGAGCTGGCCCACAACCGAATTTCACCAAAATTCATGCTCCCCCGCACACGTCAACGCATAAAAAGATAAATTTAGGAGAAGGCAGGAGCACGGTCCATGAAACACAAAAGACCGAACACTGCTGATAGCGCTACAAATTTCGAAATTGAAAATATAATCCTCAAGACTTACGGCATTGAGCAGCATGGAGAGCAACAGCACCAGCCGCCTACTGCTGTGTGCAGATTTGTGCACCGTCTGCATCGTGGATGGCCTCCTGGAAGCGGTTCTACTGCAAAGTCCCTGTTAATTGAGTTCTCTTTCGCGTCGAAAGGATCCACCGCACTTGCACTGCCTCAAAAATTAATTTGACTCGCACCTTAAAGTGAGCTTCTGCAGCATCCACTTTCGAACCGATTCAAACTGTAACGGAAACACAACCGCGACGCTTTGCTGTTCACCAGCAGCTGTACCAGAACGTTCGCCACGAAGTCCTTTGCTCGACTGCTTGCCTGTGGACAGGACCCTCCACTTTTTATAGCCGAGCGGCCCCGGATAAGCTCTCTCGCGGGAGCGAAACCGGAGCGCTTAGCTCGGATAACGACCGTCAACTGTTGCTGCTTCTTCGCTGTGTCAGTCGCGGGCCGTATACTTTCGGACTCTCTGTTGCGCGAGCAATGTCCTGTTTTCGTGGGCCGCTTATGTATGAAATGACGTCATAGCAGCTGCAGGACACGGTCTCTGTAACTTGTTGGCAAGCGCTGTGTATTCAGGCCAAGCGGCAGCACAGTGTCTGGGATAGTAGGAAAAGCAAAGAAAGGTGGTCGAATACATCTCAACCAAACAACAACACCTCCCAACGAGGTTAACAAGGTTATATAAACCTTAACAAGGAAACAGATTTTTGACTTTGCGTAAACCTATCTATTCGTTTGCAAACTAGGTTCACCTTATGATATTTTGCTTAAAATCTAGATTTTGGAACACTGCTAACTGATTTGAAAAACATATGGTGTTTTCCCAAAGAAGGCAACCAGGAGAAAAATCTTAAGCATCTTACAACATGAGCAACCACTACTCTAATTTTTGAAAATTTCACTTTCAGAAAATCAATTGTTTGTCTTAAAAGCTTTCGATCGGTTTACAATCTGTTCTGATTTTTTTCATCATATTATTATTAATTTGGCTTTCAACTCAGCGATTGTTGCCCACTGTGCGTGGTGTCGCTTACCTCTCTTAGGGACCAATCAAAGAGAAGTTCACTTGAGCTTCAGGCCATATGTCGACGCTCTCAGCGGAGCTATTGGCCATTCCAAAGCTGGACGAGAGCACTTGCGCAACGTAAGTAGCCAAGTTAGAAGCGAACCCGAGCTAGAAACCCGAGAATCCCTTACGCACTGTGGCCGGCACTAGGGCGCATCATAATTTTCTTAGTTTCTTACTTTTCGTTTTCCAATTAATTTCCTTCCTTTTAGCTAACATTTGGGCTGAACCCCAAACTTAAAAAGCATTTAAGCTAACATATTTTTTAAATATACTTTATTTAAATGAGTTAAACCACAATTGGAGTCATTGGCAATATTTAATTACATGTTGGATTTGTTAAAACTTTTTTCTAATTGTGTATGTGTGAGTTAAAATATTTTCAGTTTTTATTATCGCATATCAATGGGCTGGCAATAAATTTATCAATCACATGAAACTTTTGGTTATAATGCATATTATTATTAAGAGTTTAAATAGGATTTAATTCGCTATCGCTAATTAATAGGGCAAAAACTGAATAACTTAAGATCCGCACGCCCGCTCCTGTGACCTGTCTGCGTAAGTCCCTAAAATAATAAATAGCCAAATAGCCGGAAAAGTAATGCCCTCCGATAGACTGTTTCACCCCAACCGCCGATTGTGGCCTAAACGTATGCAATTTCTGAAATCCAAAACTATGAAGCGTAAAAGGCTAAAACGTAACCAGCACGCACACGGCACAGACAGCGCCGCGGTTACGCCTAGATCCCTTAATGCAGCAGAAGCAATGCACAAAGTGCAGAGGCGGTCACATTCATATGCCTACGTCAGTTAAGTCAGGCACGGTGGGGTAACTCGCGTCACGCCTGAATGCAGGGTATACGTATGCGGCAGATGGCGGAAGGCGGATGACGGAGAGGAGATGGCACGCCCATACAGGCGGTTTGCAAAAACCTGTCAGCGAGCTGCAACGGAAGGGGTTGGAGCCTGCGGTATTGGCGGCTTTTGTTTCAAGCAACCCATGCATATTAAATTTGGTCAGCAGACCAGAGCAATAGTCGAGGATGAGTTGGTTAGCAAACTCTTGTAATAAATTCATGCGGATTTTATTGAAGTCTTAAATCAACAAAAATTCGCATTTCGATGTAGTCCACGTTGTCGAGCTTCCGAATTCAATTCAAACACAAGTAATTATGTGCCAGAATTCGGTAAATACTTAGTTAGATTTTATCGTACCTCTCCTCAATCGGTCTGACACCCACAAACAACAATGATACTATTTCAATTGCCTGTCAACTTGATTAAAACCCGTTCCATAGCCGTCATGTGGTCACGCTTTAAAAATATCACTCGTATAACAAAACATCGGCTTCTAATGTGAAATCACATTTGGCTTTGGCTTTCAAAAAACCGCTTTCGTCGTATTTTGCCCAACAGCGCAGAACGAGCGGATAAAGTGATGTGTACCACAACTGGGCATATATTTCATTATCACAGCGACACAACACAACGGACTGTGCATTATAATTGGGAGGCCGACAGACTGCATGGCATTTCAATATGCTAATTGGCTATTTAAATTTACAAGACACAAAACAAAAATATAAAAAAAAAATAAAAAAAAATCATGGCTAACCGGCTAATTATCCGCCGTTGGAACCAGACCAAAAACGATTTTATATGTGAGGTAACTCATCACATTTACTCATTTCCTTATAAGTAGACAAATAAAAAGGTAGCCGCAGGTGTTACCCGAAGTGTACAAGTAAGACTAACAAAGGATTGTGCGTTGAATGATGATGGGTTCTATTAGTTTTCATTTAAATTGTGTCTCAGATCACGATTGATCAATAAATTGTAAATATTTATAAATTGGTCGTCAAAAAGTTGAGAACTACATTCCCTTTCACTTGTTTTTGCGTTACATTTATTTTTGTTTTGGGTATAGCATATATGAAAGCCGGATATTTGTGTTCAAATTAAATAGCCATTTTTTAAAAGGTATAATTTAGGAATTCAAGAAAATAAAAATTTCCGATTTTGGGTGTAAGGAAAACCAAATGTTTTTTTTCAATTTTTAATTTACAAGCTTTATTTTTTTTATACGAAATAAGAGATTCACTGTATCTTCGACGTATACAAAATCAAACCAATTTTCAAGACTGATCTAAAGGAAACGCAAATCATATTTAAATTCAAAGATTTTAAGGAAAGAAGTTCTAATTTACATATTTGGAGTGTTTTTCTTAAACAATAGCATACATACTCGTACTTATGTTTTACATAGGTTTACATTTTAGACATATACATACATCATTTTAAAGAGCGCGATTTATAATATCATCCCTAAATAAATTGTCAATTCATTTTTAGTACCTTTTCTACTTGCTATTAATGCGGCTTAATATCTAAAGAAATGAAAAGCCATTTAAATCATTCGACTTTATGTTTTGCATTGCAAATAAAAAAAACCTTTAAAAAATTTCTACATGAATGTAGTATACATGAATATATATATTTATTTTTAATTTATACTTTTGATTCATTTCCGTTTGTGAGGGATTTATTTTAGGAATGTATTACGTTTGTGTTCTTGGTAATTTCAATATTGCTACTTGCATGCGCGTTATAGAAGAAGCCTTGGTACAAGTATAAAAAATATCGATTTTTGCTTGCCGTTTCCACACCAAAATTCCTCCCGGTTAAGGGGCTTGCTATTTCTTATATACCTAACTCCATTCGGAGCCTATAATGTCTATCTGCGTATTTCTTTCGCTCTCAAAGACGGGTACAACAGGTACAACAACAACAATTAAACGCTATTCTAAGTCCAGAGCTCAATTTCATTTACAGACTCAGGAAAACCGTTACAAGTAGCGTTAAGAAAGCCGACCCTGCAGTTGCTATCGACCCCGCTGCGTTGACTCCGAACCCTGCCAGCGCCACGTCCACGTCCTTGCCAGGATTAGAGGACATGTTCTCGGGTGCTTCGTGCGAGTTCACTTCATTGCTGGATGGCGAGTCCTGCAAGGTTTTCTCCAATGTATCGGGACCCGAATGCTGTACACCCTTGTCCTTCATATGGACCAGCGGTGGCTCGTTGATGGGCGTAGGTTCGTTGGTGCTGGTTGTGGTGGCATGTGTCGTGGTCGATGTGGATGTTGTCGTTGTGGTTGTCGTTGTGGGTACCAGAGTTCCGTTCTCAATCCAGTACACTGGGCTAAACTCCAACTTCACATCCTTCAAGTAGCTTTTGCGCACCTGCAAGTTTAAGAAGCTTAGATTTGGACTCCGTCAAAAGGTTAATGTACTTGCCTCCGCACTGATCTTTCGGGAAACGCTCTCTTCACTGCCATAGTAGAAGGCAAAGAGCTTTCCACTGTACGGCGCCTCCAGAGTAACATAGTTGCCACGTAGTGTAACATTAATTGCTGTGCCAGGCCAGAGTTTAGTGTGAACTGCCTTGTTTTCCGTTCGCTTCTCGGTGTGCTTAAGGGCCCAGTTAATTTCAGCGGGAGCGGCCATATCTTTCTCAAATATTTTTGTGGGCAGACCTCGAGCCACACCCTCATGAGATCCCCAGTACTGATTATAGTCAAAGCTATAGCTAAGAATGGTCTCCACAGTGCTGTATTTGTCTTCCAGATTTTCCAGCTTCCTAGTGACTATGGAAAATATTGAACTTATAAATCAGCTCACAACCACATATACAATTAGGCTTACCCAGTTCAGTCAGGTTTTCCTTAATATCGGTGCGCAAGCGATCCAATTTGATGTCCTTGAGCTCATAGCGGAAAGGCTCCGTCTCGACTAAAACCTCTCCATCATCATAGTATTTTTCACGTTCGTTCTCAATTACCCTTATTTTTCCCAGGCCCACGGGTTCCAAGTGTCCCAGGTTGAAGTCTGCGCCCCAGTGAGTGATAATGCCCTCCTGGTTCGGTTGAATCGGGGCTCTGTGGCGTCCAATGTAGGAGTCGTCCCCAATACGAATGGCTCCCACCGGAACACCAGCATCGAACTTGCGCCAATGCCGCCAGCCAACTTTTCCCAGGTGACCCTTGTTCATCAGAACATCAAAGTTGTCGTACTTTCCGTGCTTATAGTGGGCCGCAACGCAGACGTGTCTTTGAAGGATTTTCTCGGTGTGGCCGGACACCTGGAAGCCGTCGATGGGCACACGGCACACGTAGATTGGGTAGTGCTCATCCTCGGTGACATACTTTCCGCCCTCCACGGCAAATTGCAGCTGAGTGACGTCCTTCGGATCATAGCTCTCCCAAACAAGGGTGCTTGAGGTGACCAATTGCCCCAACACCGAGGAGGCGTTCTTGTGAGTGAACACTGAGTGCACTGCAGCCTTGGCAGGAACTAGGGCTTGAATTAGGACCAGGAGGCAGCTGAGGCTGATTAAACTACTACTTGAGGTCATCCTACTGATTGTACTTCGTTGTGGCTGGACTCTCATTCCAGTTTGTGCCCAGAAGAGGTGGGAAAAGATCTGAAAATGGACTTAGTAAGTCATTGCGGAATTTTCATTTTTGCATGCACAGCTGCACCAATTAAACTTATCTAAGTAACTTTGAACTATTAATATTCCAATCTTTGTCTTTTAATATCTGCTATGGTGCCACGCATAGTGTAAAGGTTAGGATTCGAGTGTTAATTCTGCCCGAAAAACAAACATTCGCTGCGTGCATCCTATCAACAGCTTAAAGGAATTGTTCGAATCAAGTGGGCGTGTCTGCGCCAAACAACTTTACCACCTCACACCGCTGCTTACCCCATTAGCGGCAAAAGTGTCGCCGACACATCACAGACCTGTTCATTCTGGCTTGAGAAGAAGCTACACTACATGATGTATGTTTGCATGTTGTCCCCATGGAGAGGATTCCCAATAAATTTGTCACTTCTTTGCCCAACTTTCGTACGGGCACACGACGTATACGTAACTTTATAGCTTCATTGCTGGCCGGAGGGACAACAGAGGTTTGCTGCAGCGGAAGTGACTGGTCGCCGTGTTTATTCATTAACAAGCATTGTGTTCTGGACACGGACGAACTGAACTTGTGGGTACTAGTGTAAAGGACACATGCAGCATAGCTACAGTTTGTCCTCGTCTGGTGTTCTATTGTGTTACACTCTCCTTCCTCCCAGCCGAAGTGACTGTTCAAGTCTAACTCGGAGCGCTTGACCCTAGGTGTCCGGCATTCAGCTCCTCTGCCTCCTCTGTCGCCCCTGTCCAACACCGCCGAAGTAACGTAACTGTCTGCAACGGATATGAGATGATAAGGTTACATGCAACATCATTTGTTTGCTCTGACAAATGATGTGATATTGTGATAGTGTATTAAAAGCCGAGCTTGGCGAAGGGTTGAAGACAACGAACGCGGGCCGGGGCCAAGTAACTTTCGAGTGCCGGGGGTTTAAGTGCCAGGGTCAAAATTTAAATAATGCATGAGCAGCTAGAAAAAGGAATAGCTTGGTCTTGACGTTGTGCTCTACCAACTTGTGAGTGATAAACGGTGTGGTTACATTGACACTAAAGCATTGCTCCGTTTATTGCATGCTTGCAAAACGGACTCAGCTGGGGTTTGCTGATCAGCTCAGTGTCTTTCCTTCCGGTTGCACTTATTGGATCTCCCAGTTCTGCTATGACGCACCACTTGCCACTTAAGGTACTTGCGGAACAGTTGCATTCCACAGCCCATCACCGGAAGCAACTGTCATAAAAACCTCGCCGGGCGCGGCCTGCGATTCAGCTTATAGAGATCCACATTTCGAGCCATAAATTGACCTCTGGTCACCGACCGCATGTTGCCCTGTTTTTGCGCATGCAATAAATATGCTAAAAATAGCCGAAGCAAAGACCCGGCAAATGGGCGAAGGCAACCGAGAAAAAATTAATTTAAGGCCCAGCTGAGTTCCCAATGAGGAGCCTCCCCGCCCGCACTGCATTAATTCAATTGAGCGCTCTGGCAGCGCGGAAATCGGTCTGCGGAATCTGATCCGTCCGTGGCGGAGGAGTTGGGAGTCCAGGCCACGGCCATAGCCGGTGAAAGTTCACGTGGCCATTTATTAAATCACATGGCTTGCAACTTTGTCTTCAGCCTTCGTGTTTTCAGTTTCCTCTGCAGGTTGGTTTGCTATAATTTACGACTAACAGGGCCCGGTGAAAGGCTGCGGGCTCTGCCGCAGCAAAAAGGGAGGCGGGGCAGACTGCGGCGGTTTAATTGGATTTTATTGAACTTTGACCCTGACCCTCATGGTCACGAAAGTTGCAACAAGTTGTAGCCGTTGCTCATGCATGTGCAACACGAGGTTGCACACAATTGACTCAGCTAGTTGTTTTAAACAACAGTCGCTGGTCTTGCTGCAGATATACCAACCACTCCCGTTCCCATTCCTATTCCCATTCTGAATCCCATTACTATTATGGGGGCCCAACCCGCGAGTCAATCAACTCAATTGGGCATTGTGCTTTATGACTTTGACATTACAATGATCCGGCGTCCGGCCACTTCAACACTGGATTTCTCACATCGCAGTTGATTATCGCCACCAATGTCAGAGTTCAGTGCACTTGGCATCGCCTTGAAACACTTGTAAACACAAATTATTTAGCACGCCATTAAAAACTGGTAACGTTCGGAAAACTTTTTCCGAACAAACGGCTCTTTTTAAATGAGCATGGGAATACAGACAAAAATAACTCTAAGATTTTCGAAAAATTAATGTTGGAGGCTTGGTATGTTGGACTGGTAAGTTTGATTTTTTTGCTTTCTAGGAGTCACTTAACCGAATTAGTGAGCAATTGCTCTGGGCTCAGGGGTCAGTTTCAAATAGGAAGACCAAACGAATCTCGGTCACATCATTTATTCAATTTGAAATTAACTTCTGAATCGATTTCCTTCATATTGATTAAGCAATTACCCCATAAGTCAGAGATAGTTAGCAAAGCATTTCCAACTTTCAGCTTACTTAACAACTATTCAATGGCCCTCTTTCTCTTTCTAATTAAGAGCCGGTTAAAAAATGGTATTACTCCAGTTCGAAAGCTTTTGCAGATTGCATAAAATGCTTGTGTAAAAATGCATGTCCGCAATCTTAGCTGAAGTTATTTCTCCATAAATGATTTTGTAATTCTCCGAGTGAGTTAATAAAAAACGCCCTTGTTTTCCTTTTGCTTGCACCAAGCGATTGATTGGTCGGTCGCTCATTTTTAACAACCAAAAAAAAATCAACCACAGGAAAGTTGCATTTCTGCTCCTTGCAATGCTGCTTTACAAAACAGTAGTTAATATAATTTTAGTGTCCAGCCCAAAGGTAACAAGAAGTAAAAGGCAGAATAGAACACGGGTTCTGTCTGTCGAAGCACAAGCCTGGTTTACTTTGGAATACTCTAGGAAAAGTGGGTTTACTGATTACTGGTTGCTGATAATTTACATATTTATTTTCAATGTTTGAACACCTCTCGTACTCAATGCACATCACACCCCTCTTTCAATACAACATCGAATACAGATATATTTTGGAAGCTGTGACTTCACAAATTCATTCTGTTGGACCTCATCCCCTCAACTGCCATATACGGTGTTTGCCCAGCTGCAACACAGTCTGTCCCAAAGTTTTCACACCCCGATTCTAGCTCTCCCAACCTCGTAGGTCCATTTGCATGTTGCATCAATTAAGGCGTCTGGAGCGGTTCAGGTTATCGGCTACTACCGGCCCGTTAAATTAAATGCAGCCTGCACGAGGGCACGTGACAATGGACAGCCCAGCCCAGCCCCTCACCACTCATCCCCATTCCGCAAAATTTGTTCCATCGGCTCGAATTTAAGTTGATTGCAAAGCGTTTTCACTACACTTAATTAATTTAATGGATCAATCGATCGTCGTGTTTGATTGGTGAACCAAAGTCATTAAGTAAACAGGTTGTATAGGGCCACATTTTTTACTACACATTTTAAAATCTGGAAAATTTACCTTAAACCAAACGTAGAAACTACTTGCTTATTGAATATTAATCTTGTTTGTTTTTATTTGGATTTCATTAGTTATACATTTGTCTGTATATGATAAATATTTTGAACTCATTAATTTTCATTTACAAACTAAACCAGTTTTTATATTTATATAAATATCAAACGAGCGCATATTTATTAGAATACATACATATTTCAAACAGAGAAATATTGGGATACATTTAATGAAAACCAAATAAGGAAAACATCAAACTGCTTATTTATTAATTTCAATACATTTTTATGTTAAAAGTCAATTTTGTGGATGTTTTTTTAGCATAAAATAGAAGAAGTTGATGCAATAAAACCAATCTGACTTATTAGTAACTTCAAGATCTTAAGACATTCACTATATTATCGATTTTTTTTTTATTTTTAAGCCTGGGTATATTTAAAAATTTATATTAGTTAAAAATTCCAAAAGCAAATTTTATATTTTATAGAAAAAATATAATTTTATTTATCTGTCTTTGATTAAATGTGTTATAATGTAAGAAATAACAACGTCAAAAATATCAGCAGATTTAAATTTCGCCACTAGCGGAATATTGATTTTTGTTGAAATACATTTTTTTTGATTGACATTTAAGATTTATGAAATCGTCGCGAGGGTTGGAGAACATATTCCAATAAATATTGAGGAACCATTTTGAGCAGGTTCAGGCTAAGGGCCTTAAATGTGCTTGAACTATCTACAGCAATTCATTATGATTGCTGTTTAATTATGCACGAAGAGCCGAAGCAAGTATGGGTACCAGACAAAAAGCACTTATAGCTCTTAAAGACAAACTAATTGAATTCAATAATGTAATACGCGATTTGCCCTGCAGCCTCCCGAAAAAGCAATTTCGCCTCTTTAATGGAGTATTTTTGGTTCTTTCATAATGTTTTCTCCCCACTCTGTGGAAGCTTTGACCCCACTTTGAGACTGCGTAATTTTCGAAATCGGTCATGGATCGTTTGAGAGCAGGCCACATGTGCTCAGAGCGCCATGAGCACTACACGTCAACGTCAGAAAACTGGCCTGGCAAAAAAAAAAAACAAAACCGGTACTGTGCAGCGTTCTTGAAGCCAACCAGCCACGTGTTGATCCTAAATTGTAGCCGCCAAAAATCTAAGAGAAACGAAAAACTAAATTTGGACTGGTTTTCTAAGCAACACTTAAAGAATCAAAGCCAATTCCTAGCCAATATGCTCTGTAAATCTGAGTTTTTCAGGCAGAATGCCTGATGTATAAATAATTGGATATAACATGAAGTTCACATATGGGCCTTTTCAGACTATTTTGATGCCCGCTTCGAAATCTGGTTAGAACGAACTAGTTCATAACACACAAATTGCAAACAGCGTCGGGGCTTGGAAACTAAGATAAAGTTATATAATTACAAAATTCAATTCAAATTGTATATACTCGTACACATAGTATTGTTCTTTTGGCTTTTTATTCCGCCATATGAGTTGCGTGAGTGGGGTTTAT